GGGCGGCACACTGTGTGTGTTTGACCAGTGAACTGGAGATGGGATGCATGGTTCCCTGCAGCAGGAGGGGGGAGGAGGAAGAGGAAGAGGAGGAGGAGGAGGAGGAGGCATGGTTAGCTGCAGAGGAAGAAAAAAAAAAGGGAGGAGGAGAAGAGAAGGAGCAGATAAGAGAGAATTATCTTTGTGTTGTTTACCACTCAGCCCTCATGCAAGTCTCTTAATGACTTCAAATGCACATGGTTTTCTGAGGACTCATGAGCATTAATTACATTTGAGATGACACTCGCAGAATCATTAAATTAAATTAACTAATTTGTTTTTTCATCAGTTGTAGAAAGTTCGGCCATCTTATTTTCACCTACAGAACAATGATTATTTCATTCTTATTTAATCGCCAAGAGTGATAAGGCCAGGGCATTTCTCCACAGCAGCTGTCTCTCGTGACTGTACCTTGCGCTTCATTTTTTTCTTAACCAAAGTCCAACCCGAATCTCTGCACTGCTGATGGAGCGAGGCGATATTACGGGGGAAACAATGTGAGAGGGGAAGGAGGGAGGCACTCAGGTGGAGAGAGATACCGCCACGCTCGAGGAGGGTGTATGCTTTGGGGGATGAGCAGATGGCTGAGGCAAAAGACAGGATACAAAAAGAGAGGTCAAATCGAGTGGTGAGGTTAGAGGAGAGGAGAGAGGAGAGTGGAGAGAGAGAGTGAGGCGTTTAAAGAAGGGAGGGGGTAAGGCATGAAGAGACCTCTCTGGGAGCGTGAGTGAGGTAGAGCAATATGTCCATATACAGAGTATGGCTCTTTCAGGCTGCAAGAGGTTAATCCAGAACTTTTTATACAGCCTGAGGTAACTTTCAGAAACGGTTTGAGTTCTTCAGAATAAAAAAAAATAGGAAACCCAGTATGTAAAGCTTCAGAGATGAAGGTATGAGTCCTTTTTTTAACTATTGAGCTGAAATCTCAATGCAATTGACTTTCCTTTCCACCGCAAATAAACGTTAAATTCCTTAGTTCGACTTGGTTAATATGTTTCTACTGATTGCTTTTTTTGTTTGCTATTTCATGTTTATAAATGTTTATTTATGTGGTCTGTTCATTTGTTCTGCGGTCTTGTTATTCGCCCTTCACAAAGAAAAAATAATTAGAGTTTATTAAAATATAAAAGGGTGAGAAATGTACATACAGGACAAATTAGAGAGGTATCAAATTGGTGCAGCTTGAAACTAAAATGTAGATTAATTAGAAAGTTACAGTACAATGCCAATAATACAAAAAAAATGGATTTAAAAGGTTTTTTTTTTAAAAACACTTGCTCTCTCCTCACAGGTGATCCAGGCTGTTGTTGATAAGAGCGAACACTTATTTTGTTTTTCTCCCCCAGCCCTCGGTGAAACAGCAAATTGTTTTCCTATTTATTTTCTCAGAGCAGTTTGTGAAAAGGATGGTTGCAGGCTACCAAGGGAAGGGTCATTTTTACTTGATACATTTGCGTGATCAATCATGATCAACAGCGCCGCTAGCTCCACATGAAGGTTCCTGGAGTTCAGATTTACTATCCCCTACATGCTTCAGTATTTAAACCTTATGAACCCAAGAAACCTCAACATGTGGCGCGGCCTCTGACCGCTGAAACGTGCCAGAAGTGATTAAGTGTGAGAAAACAAGAGGTTCCTGCACAGTGCAGCTCATGGCTCTCCATTGGAAATAAATTACGCTGCTTCCATTGATTGGAGGTTGGGTCTATTTATGGCAATGCATGCATGTGGCTGGGAATACCAAGCCTGTAGAGCCACACATGTGAGGGAAGACTCTGAAGAGGGATTTATTATGGAAGAAAGTAACGTGCATTTATTGTGACAGGATGCCTCGTGTCTTAGGGGCAGAGCTTCATGATGCTGGCAGATCTGGTGCAGTGAGATTGGATTCTTTGCGTCAGAAACCGAAGAGGTCATTCTCCGTCTAGAACATCCTTGTAAGCCTTTCACCAAGGGGGGAACATACCTGGAGCTCAGATCACTATAGATGGCATGGCTCATGGGATCACTGCAACACAACCTTTCCACTTCAATAAGGTGGCAACCCTTGCTAAGGTTGCATCACAAAGGCAATGTATGTCTAATGGGAGCAGGAGTGGGGTTACAGGGAGGGTCTGGACATATCTGTTGTTGAAGCTTGGGTTTGCTCAAAGCGCAACCTAATAAGCAGAGGACAGCTGAGCAGAAAGAAAGAGGCCGCCCAATCTGGTCCCCTAGGATAGGTTCTGTGTCAGGACTGGCCCAAATTAAGAGCGAGTGCAGAGAAAGCTGGGCCTCGACGAAGGCTGCAGCTCCGACTGGCTCCCATTCAGTCCGGGAGATTGCAGCACTCACCCTGCAGCACTTACCCACAATACTGCTGTCCATCTGTTGATTCACTTATCTAGTGTGTGTGTGTGTGTGTGTGTGTGTGTGTGTGTGTGTGTGTGTGTGTGTGTGTGTGTGTGTGTGTGTGTGTGTGTGTGTGTGTGTGTGTGGAGAATGGATGCTTATACCTTGGGAGAGGTGTCTGTACCAGGACAGATAGGGAGGGAATAGAATTAAAAAGGATGAGGCAAATCCCACCAGCGACTAGATCTCTCATTCACACTTTGTGCTTAGGAGCTGAATACGTGAGCACTGTCATGTTGTCCTCTTTAGAATGCGTAATGGGTTTGCACATACTCAAACATGGTTCCTCACAAAGATGGACAGATTTGCTCGGACAGGGGGGGAAATGGATTATAACCCCCTCCAAGGAGGTAATGTTTATGGTTCTCTTGGTTTATCTGTTTGTCAGAAGGATTATAGAAAAAATACTGCCCCAATTTTTATGAATCTTGGTGAAGGAATGGCCAACGAAGAACTACAGAAATATTTGAGTGCATCTGAATCATTGAACAGACATTAATTGCATATTATATGTAAATATATATATTTCTATACTTTAGTAATACTGTAAAATATGTGGATTTGGCGTAATTGGAGGTCACGGCTCTCGTTCTAGCGATTTCCTCTTTGGTTTCTAAGGTAAAACACACAAAATACAACATTTAATGTAGGTCAGTTTACCATCAACAACCCTAAGAATGCCAAAACAGCTTATTTATTGCATTATTCAAACAAGATCATAGTTCTAAGCTTTGTCTGATGTCTCCAATTATACCTTTTGAATTAATGCCCGTCAGCTATTGGTAAGCAAATATTTAACATAGCCATTACATAAGTTTGAATAGTGCCCTCCCTCCCGTCACCCAACCATTGTAGTGGAATATTGAGAGTGTTTACGGATGTTAAGAATGCTTGATTACACAGTGGGAGCACTTGAGCGTCAATCAGAATAAGTGAGGAGCCATTCATGATAGGGTGGGGAAGCAAAACACCTGTAGCTCTGAATGTTAGTTTACACATTAATGGCTTCTGACTGAATGGAAGTCGCTCTTGCCTGACAATTTACAGTGTCCCACTAGAGCGCATGATGAATACACAAACAAATGGAAATGTTTTTTCGCCTTTCAAGAAATGTCATCAGATGCATGCTCTGATAGGAGAAATAAAATGCTTGTATTATTAGGATGTACATTCCCCGAAGTGGTTGTCATAGATTTGTTGAAGTGAAAAGCATTCAAATGATGGGGTAACTGTTTATATTCTTTTACCTTTTGCTTGCGTCAGATTGTTATTTTACTAAACACAGTCTGGTTTGTGTGCAGCATGTAAATAGGGTTGTTTTTTCCTCAAAGAAGGGGTCAATCCAGTCGTAAAAATGTGATATGTATAGGTAGGTTTATCTCCTATATTTGCACAGACACCAAGTATGTATCTGTTTCTGACATCTTGGCACCAGCAAACACAAATGTCCCAGGCCATTGAATGGAAACCTGAATTCACTTTTCACTAGAGTCAGAAAGAGTTGTGTTTTTCAGCTCTTTTCGTAGGAGGCACCAGAAGCGGTGACAGGCTGCGGTGGCGCTCACATCTGCTGTGAATGCTGCAGTGAGTCGTTCACGGTGGGTGAGGGAACAGAGATAACTGGTGGGAGCCCCTGGTGGGAGCTGGAGACCCTCAGTTAATGGCGTGACGTTTCAATACATTGGCTGCCACTTTCCTACCTAAACAGAAACACATTCTACCAATTTACAGCCGCAGGATGATTGCTGACCTCCTGTCACAATGCTGTCACTGACACCAGATCTGTTCACTTTCTGAGTGTGTTCATTGTGTATTACCATGCATTTCTTTATTCAAATGGTTGGTACAAGATGAAAATGGGATTATATGTTGTGATCACTATGATCAATAATCGTATAGAAGTGCAACAAAAAAGCATCTTGGATTATTTGAATTAACTGGCCAGTGATAGTATTGCACTTCCACAGAGTAATGTGACTCAAAATAGACCGATTACTTGGATGTAACTCTAAATACAGTGGATTTTACATCTCTAATAATGCAACTCAATTGGGTCTTTCATTTGATTTGTCTTGCCTCCACATCTTTTTAACTTCATCCCCCTTCTTGGAGTCACAGGACTTCTGTTATCATTTATTGTAAAACCGAGATATCATCATTAGGGTTATTTTTTCAGACACGCCAAGGAATTTCCCAATCATCCTAGTTTTAAAATGAAATAAGGAACCATCTGTTTAAGAATAACAAAGAGCAATGATATTGATGAAATATGGTTAATTTCCCCCTTTCAACAAAAAAGAATGACGTAATATGGACTTGATTGTCAAATAAAACAAACAATTTGAATACATCACCCCTTAGGCTTTTAGTCATTATTATACTCATATTATACCATTTGTTTGCATTTAACAAACAGAATAATGAATGTTCTGACCAAGGAAATAATTCCAAGATTACCCTACCTCACTGAATCACTGCTGAGGTGAGTGAGCCAGTCTTTTGAGCAAACTCACATTTTGCTGAGTAATGTCCTAACCACCCTGTCTTCTTGTCCTCTGCTGTCCCTGCAGTTTGCTCCCAGTTCTCCCGCGGAGTGTACGCCATCTTCGGATTCTATGACAAGAAGTCCATGAACACCCTGACCTCCTTCTGCGGCGCCCTGCACACCTCCTTCGTCACACCCAGTTACCCCACCGATAATGAGGTGCAGTTTGTCATCCAGATGCGCCCTCCCCTCCGCGGCGCCGTCCTCAGCCTGCTCTCTCACTACAAGTGGCAGAAGTTCGTCTACCTCTACGACACCGACCGAGGTAGGTGACAGCACGCGCCTGGAGTCAGGCCTTGAAGCTTGAATTACAGTGTGGAACCACAGGAAGTGTTACAGCGGCTCAGAATAGCAGCGGGGTTAGCAGAGGATAGATTTACCGTGTAATACTTTATGAAAGCCCTGTAAATACTTGAACTGTTAACACTGCACTTACTGTTTTATGTAATAGTTTGGTGTTATGTAAATGTGAAATATATTCACCAGCAGCTCGTAACACTTGTAATAACACTCTAAGAAACGCCGTATCTTATGAGCTATAGCCTTTGGATTGGGCTTCTTTTTTTTTAGAAGTTGTCTGGTTGGCGTCAGTTAATCTTCTGTTTAATCATGTTGTTGATATTGGCTCGTCTTTCATCTGAAATGAGGTATGTCACAGCTGCAACTAAAATGTTTCCTGCAGGATTCAGAGTCTCTGTCTGCCTGTGGGGGCTGCTTATTGTGTTCCGTCAATGAGGGTTTTTGTGTAGTCCCCAGATTGCATTGCCTTGTTGATAATATACGTTGGTTTTATGCACCACCGTGCGATGATGACCTGTCAACATGTCCAAGTGTTCATTTCTGGGTGTCCTAATGTCAAACGAGAAAATAAGCTCATTATGTCTCAATAGAGGAAGGCTCCCCTCCTCCTACGGTAACTTCAATTCTGTTCACAGCAACTGCGCAGGGGGGGTGGATGTGTTCAGGATATGACAGACAAAGACACAATATGTCCGCCTTTTTGTGGGGGTGCAAAAAAAAAAAAGGCTGTCTGCATATTTCTTTATTCCTTCATAGCAGTAGAGCTGCAGACACAATCGATTAGTCGATCGACATGATAACAATTATTTTGAGAGCAGAAATGTCCTCAAATTTGGTTTTATATCATATTAAACCAAATATATTTGCATTATGGTTGACAAAATGAGAAATGTAAAGATATTTTCTTGGAATGGATGGAAGTTTTTTATTATTATCCATCATTTTATAGACTAAACGATGAGCTGATTGATTTAGAAACTAATAAGCAGATGAATCAATAGCGAAAATAATAGTTACTTGCAGCCCTGCTTAACTGTTTGGGATTGCTATGTTTATCTGCTCATTAAAGAAAGATTCTGATATGCTTCAAGCAAGCGGTCTTCTGCATTGTGTTATCTTCTCTGAGTGGTTATTTTTTCCTAGACCAGCCTCACGCCCCCACCTCTCCCTGTCTTGCTCCGAGGCAGAATATGTAGTGTGCTTTAGCGCAGAGTCCTCTGTCTCTGGGTCTCCAGGCCTGTAGGGTCCACAGCTGAGGGCCTTAATCTTCCTCACTGCCTGCAGATAATATGTGGTTAATTAGGGTCACTCTGACTAGAACACTCATTGGATCTTCCCTGCGGATGCTAGCAACCCACACGTCCTTCAGCGCTACCCATACTGCCCAGATATCCGTCCCCGTCCCTCTGCTGCTCCTCTTCTGTCTGGCAGACTGTCTGGGGCAAAGTTGGATACATAGCGGAGGTGGGGAAAGGAGTAATTCAAAAAGCTGTAGAGGATGACACATAGAAGTACACTTTAAAGAGAATACAAAGATGGACAAAGGGCAACAGAGGGAGGGAAAGTTTCTAAAGGAGGAGGAAACAAAACACCTATCCAATGCAGCAATTAAGCCAACAGCAGGCTCGTGTGATTTACAGGCTGTTACCTGTGTACCGTCAATTCCCTGCGTACTGTGTATCCCCGTGCTGAAGCCCATGCCAAACCACTTTTACCTCTCTTCACTGCCAGTGGTGTAAGGCGATCCCTTATTAGCGGGAGGACATTGGCCCCAGGAGGGGATTAAAGTCGTTTATTGATGCTCTCCATCCAGCACTTTGGGGGGCTTTGACACTTGGCTCATCAAGCAGACAGATGTGTCAGAGAGCCTCTACCTCCGCTTATCAGGTAGTGCAGCTCCCCAGGCAATATAGGCACTGACTGCTGGCTAAACCTGGAGGAGTGACAAGGGAAAATAGCCTTCAAGGGTGTTTGTTTTTCACACTCTGGCTCTAAGGAAAACAGAAACATTTTGAGACAACTTCTATAGTGTGTATTAGTTTATGTTTTTCATTTGTTTTGGAGGTTCCCAACATTCTTTTATGACTTACCCCCAAAGTCAGAAGAGGCCAAGTACCACTCCACTGATCCAGGATGCAGTGTTGGGTGTAACACGTTACAAAAGTAACAGAGTTACAGTAATGTATTACTTTTTGCTGTAACGAAGTAATGTAACGCATTACTAACGACATTTGGGTAATAAACTGCCCGTTACAATTCTCAGTAACGCAGTTACAACACATTTTAACCCGAAATAAAATGGTGTTTTGTTTTTTAAGAATTCACTAACATTTCGAGACATTCCGACACCAGAGAAAAATTGTGCGGGTAGATTAGTAAGCCTGGTGTTTACCCTTCGGGCTCATCAAGATCCCTCCGCTTCGCGTCGGGTTCCCTGATCAGCAGGGACGTGCACACATAGACATCAAAGTGGGCTTGAGCCCCTGCCCTTTTTCTTCCTCCAGAGAAAGTGCTCTTTTTTGTTTTAAATAAATGAATATATATCTACTGCAGTTTGCACACAGTTTCCCTTTCCAAAAATATATTGATTGAATACAAAATAAAAATATCAGGTCGGGAGATTACAATGTGAAGTTCCGATGCTCTGGCTACCCTCCCTCCCTCCCTCCCTCCCTCCCTC